CCTCATCTTTCTCCTGCGGAGCAGCTGGTAGTTTCGAACCGCTGACCTTAAGGTTCGCAGCCCAATTCGTAACCACTACGCTACCAGAGCTCCTTTAAGACCCAGTTAAGGGACTGTTCTACCTTACAGTGGTAAGCAGGAACCTCAACTCTACCTTATGGGCTGGTTGATCTGGTGGTATTTCCAGGAAGCCAGCATTCAACATCTCACATTCTGAAAGACTGCCTACTAAATTGTGATCGGCTGCTATCCTATAGACTGGGGACTCAGGCCAACCCAGTGGCTCTGATGAAGGGATACCTAGTGATCTGCTGGTATAAAGTCTACAGCCAAGGAAACCCTATAGAGCAGTTCTACTTGGTAACACTCGGGGCTGCCATGAGTCAGAATTCACTTGACAGGTTTGGTTTTGAGTTTTAATGATCGCTGCTACTTGGAAACCCTATATACGGTTACTATGAATCAGAATCGACTTGACAGCACTTAACAACAATGACAACAACAACAATTTTATTGAGGAATCCTGATGTGGCACTGTAGGATAAGCATTGGACTGCTAACTGCAAAGTCAGCCACTCCTCAGGAGAAATATGAAGGCTTTCTGTTCCTGTAAAGATTTACAGCCTCAGAAACCCTATATAGGGTTGCTGTAAGTCAGAATCCACTTGATGGCAGTAGGTTTGGGTTTAGTTTTGGTCTGTATGCAGACTGTGCTCAGCACTTTATACATTTCAGGGCATCAGCATGAACAGTCCAAGACCCCTGGGTGATGCAAACAGTTTGCACTTGACTCTTGCTGGTCTGGTTATATTCTGAAACACATGGAGTCGCCATGAGTCAGAATCGATTTGACAGCCATGGGTTTGGACTTTTGTTGGCAGTACATCCCAAGCAGTTAAACACTATGCCCATTATGCAGATGGGAAAATTGAGGACTTAAGTAACTTGCCCAAGTCTATAGCATTAGGAAGTAGCAGTGCCCAGGGCCAGATAACCCCAGAGACTATGATTTTAGTATTCTGTTGCCTCTCCAAAATTTGTGAGATGTGACTGTAATACAACACACACACACATCCCAGTGTGTGGCTATTTTGGGGAATTAATGGTAGTCAGCGCTACACTACTCAGATAGCTGCTTCAAGAGGACAGATTCTATGCTTATCCACCAAAACCTGGCCCCGGCAGGTTTCCTGCAAGGAGTCGCTATAGAAACCATTCCCTCCCAGGCCCCGGAGGTCTCCTACTTCTCTGCTCCAGGCCTGGGAAATGTTCGCCATGAAAGGCAAATGGACTTCAGTGGAAAACAAGCAATTATTTGCAGGCAGTAATATTTCCCACAAGGTTCTGGTGCAACAAGCTAGCGGGGAAGACAGAGCCAGACCCTTTGTACCACAGGGCTGGAACATGAAGCTCATTGTCGATGTTTATCCCTCCTCTATTCAGATGCCATGTGGCAGGGACTCCACGCCAACCTGAAGACCCGATTCTTTTCTTCCCCCTCAGTAGCAAATGTACACATTTGCTTTAAAGTAGGCAGAATTTGCCTATGGGTGGTCTTTTATGTGGAAGATATCAAACTCAGTGGTGACTCACAAAAACACAAAGGTGGCTTGACTCATTCAGTGCTCAGAGAAGTGCATGCAGAACTCACTTACCCAGAAGAAGAAGTTGAAGACAAAGAGTAAATACTTCAGATAGACGATCAGCCAGTCATCTTGCTCACCCTTATAATGGGCCATGGTTGCTGGACCTGCAAAGAAGACGCACATGCTGAGCCCAGAAATCCACTGAGACCAGTCTCGTCCTGAGTGTCGTCCCTTCCCAGAGCCAGAGTTTGCTTGCAAGGCTCGCTTCAACTGTTCCAAGGACTTTAACAGTCTGCCTGGACCAGGTGGGTTTGAGGCTATGGAGGGTGCTTAGACTGGGAAATATAAAAGGCTTTGGACACACAATAGAGGTGAATTTGGGCAGAGTTTTCTAGATTTTGACTTTGAATCTTGATTTTGATGTTGCAAAATAGGCTTAACCTGGTGTGGTGCTGTGGGTTAATGTGCTGGACTGCAAAGTCAGCTTGAACCACAATGTTGGCGGTTCAGGCTTACCTGCTGCTCCTCAGAAAGTCTATTCAGAGTCTCTATGAGTCCTAGCTGACTTGATGGCACTTGACAACAACAACAAATCTTCCTAGACTTTGCACTGGCTAATGCACTCTTAGTTTCTTTCTCTGTGTCATCAGGTTTGTAGGACACGTTTCCTGTCATACACACTCGCCCATGCACACGCAAACACATATGTGGGTTTTTTGTTTTTTCATTTTAAGTTTTTATTGTGAATTCTGTGATAGTTTACAAGGGAGAACATTAGCTTTACATTCACCCTATCTTATATCATTTCATTGCCATGATTACAATCCTCTCCATGCATCATCAAAACAACCAAAGGGTATACCCACAGGCTTGCCCCCCAGCTGTCAGCACACAGCCCCTCTCCCACTCTGGGTTTAGAGTCCATAGCTGCTCCATCTCACCACATCATCATCTCTGCATCTATCTCTGGCATCACTGTTTCTTCTGCACTCTGCTCTTCTCTCTTGATCATCCCAGAGACCTCCGTCCCTGGACTGTAAAGTCAACCACTCCCCTTCTTTTACCACAAAATGATTACCTTTACATTTCCGACCCTCACAGTCAGTCCTGATAACAATTATTCACTGTTGTACCACAACACTCTTTTCCCCATCTTCTTTCATCAGCCCCACCCAGACAGATTGGATACTATTCAGTGGAGATTCTACCTTCCTCTGTGCCCTCTGGATCTAGGTTCCTTCTTGAAAGCTTGTAAGCCAGTCACTTCTTGCCTTTGAAGCCCCCCCCACCCCCATTTTGGGTTGCCATTGTCCAAGTTGCCCATCCCTGTCTACCCTGTGTATTGCGGGTGTGGGAATGATCCTTGCTGTAAATATTTGTTCCCTTTTGAGCTTTTGCATCCATAAGTGTAGGTCAAGTTCATCAAATTGTATCAGATTACTCTTTTTTCTTCTTCTTTCTTCTTCCAGTTGAGCT